TTCTGAATACAGTTGTTTCATATATATATATAATTTTTATTGTTTTAGGCTAGAGAATAAATCCATCTTTAAAAAAATATTTATTTTTTAGTTGTAGTTGGACACAATACCTTTACTTTATTTATTTCATTTATTTTTGTGTGGTGCTGAGGTTCGAACCCAAGGCCTCACACGTGCTAGGCAAGCGCTCTACCACTGAACCACAACTCCAGCCCAATAAATCCATCTTGGCCAGAAAAAAATGCTTTAATTTTTCAGCATAACATTTGTCTCCATTTGATGGATTCTTTAGTTATTGTTTATTGTCACATTTTACTTTCCTTGATGTAAATTCTTTAAAGACATCACTTTGTATATTATTGAGTCTTCATTACCTAGTAGACAGAACATAGTCAAAAATATTAATGAATAAAGTATAAGTAGATGCATAAGGCCATTACTTTTTAGATTGAATGGCAACCACAAGAATAGAGAAAAGAGCCCTCTAAAAATTATTATGAAAAATTATTGTGAAGACTTTTAAGTGATTAGATAAGTTGAATGAAGGAAATTAAAGATGACTGGTTATTCAGTTTTCTAGCACTGGAGCTTTTCTCTCTCATTGCCTCTCACTAGACAATCTCTTTTTTTCATATTTAGTTTCAATTTACTATGGAATTAACTCCTAAATCTCTACTTCTAATCTGAATTGTTCTTTTGAAAATCAGATGCCTACTGAACATCCCTACTTAGGTGTATCATATGTCTGTTAATTCAGTATAACCAAAACAAACTCAATAGTTTTTCTCCACCCAAACTTATTTCTTTTTTCAATGTTCTTTTCAAAGAGAGGGGTACTGTCACCAAGCTGGAATGCCAAGTATCATATTTAACATTTAAGTCTCCCTTCCCTCTCCCCGTCTGATAAGTGACCAAATTTTTGGGGGGGGGGGTTCTCTTGACAGTTCTTTTTTTTTTTAAATAAATATGTATTTTTTAGTTGTTGATGGACTTTTATTTTATTCATTTATTTATAAGTAGTGCTGAGAATTGAAGCACAGATAGTAACAAACACATGCCAGGCAAGTGCTCTACCACTGAGTCACAACCCCAGCCCCTCCTGAAAATTCTTGAATCTATCCACTTATAATCTTCTGCTTTGTCCTGGTTGAGATCATTATCATCTTACCTTTTCGTTCATCATGGCAAGATTTTCCATATTGTCTTCTTTTTCATTACTTCTTGACATTCTTGAAAAAAACTACCAAAGCAAGAGAAACTGAGGCTTGGAGTGTTGGATTGATTTACTCAAGATAACAGAGCTAAGAAGTGATGAGGGTGAATGACAAATTCTCAGTGAAAAGAGCCTGTGCTCAATTTATTATACTGTGGTTCTCCTACGCCTGGGTTTTGCTTTCTTCAGTTTCAGTTATCTTCTGTTAGCCACAAACTTAAATATTATGTCTTAACTTTTTTGAGAGCACATTCACATAACATTTATTATAGTATATATATATATATATATATATATATATATATATATTTGTTATATAGTTATTAATCTCTTGCTCTGTATACTAACAAATTAAACTTTACCATAGGTATGTCTGTATAAGAAGAAAATAGTATATGTAGGGTTTGTTACTATCTGTGTTTTTAGGCATCCACTGAGGGTCCTGGAATGTATCCTTTTTGCACAAGGTGCGGAACTATTCTACCACTTTGTCACCAATAATATTAGTGAGAAATTGAGTAGTTTGCAAAATATTTTCATGGGTTTTTTTGGGTTGCATAACTTTTGAATTAGGATTATAATCACCCTTACCTTGTCAGATGAAAAAAATTGAGATTCAAGGAAAGTTAGGTAACTTCTTGTCCAAGGTCCAAGAAAGCCATTAAGTGGTGAAGGTTATTACTAGAAATTGGCTTCTGGCTCTAAACCCCGTATTTATAACCCATTATACTGCCCTCGAGTTTGCTATTGGTGTCAGATACAGTTATACATTTTTAGGCTTGATTGTGATTTGGTTTGGCACTAGCAATATGGTTGAGTGTGGTCAAGTTATTTAAACTTTGAGTACCTCAGTTTCTTCATCTATAATATGGAGATAATATTTACTGTAGAGGTTTATGTAGACACAAAGGACTTACTACATGTCTGACACATGGTAAGGTCTTAGTTATTCGGGTACCATAAGGGTTAACTTGTTAGTATTAACTAGACTTCTTTTTCTTCATTACCTTAGCTCTGTCTTACAAAATAATTGTTAGCTTCTACTGCTCATTATTGTACTCTTTCTTTTCTTCCAACTTCTCTCAGCGTGATATACCCCTGACTTTTTGTTAGCTATTCCTTCTATTAGAATTATTCCCTGTTCTCTGCTTTCCGAATCTTAGTGTTTTCTTAAGGTTCCCACATTCTCTGAAATATTTTTCTAATTATTTTAGTCTATGCTAATCTTTTCCTATCTAAACTTTTATTGAATTAATCTTCTGTTGTGTAATTATACTTTAATTATTCATTTCTAAGTCTTCCTTCTCCATTTTTAACTTTATTATGGTGATGAACAATGTGTTCTGTAAATGTTTATAATTACTTAGATATAATTTATCTGGCATACATTATTGAAGGTGTCTTATGTGTGAGGCTTGCCTGAATACTTGGGGCATAAAGATGGATAAGATAGGCTCCATGTCCTCAAGTAGCTCATAATGTAGTAGATAAATTATAGCTTATATTTCTGTGGCATAGTAGTTTTTAGCTTCTCTTCTGCTTTCATATCATTCATATGGGCAATTTTATCATTAACATCTCATTTCACACATTCACTAAGAAAGCATTTTCCTCCAGCATTGAGTCTCACTGATTTTCCTCTGAGACAGGGATTTCATTCTGTTATGCAGAGGATCACTGGGCTCACGTGATCCTCTTGAATCAGCCACCCAAGTAATTGGGAATACAGGAATGGGTCACCCCATCCTGCTGATATATAATTCTAAAAGCCCTTTCTCATGTTCTTTCTTATTAATGTATCATAGCAGATAAATCAGGTAGGAATTAATGTAGCTACTAACATAAAGGAAATTGTGATCTAATGAGGTAGATGACGATATCTCCTCTCAATGAGTAAATAAACAATTTCAGAGTTTTTAAAGACTCAAATAGAAAGTTAGTAACAGAGTTAGAACTTTTCAGCTTTAATATTTAGATACTATAACAATGGATTAATAAGCTACAGTATGCTAAGAATTAATCTTTTTCTTTAATTCTTTTTTTTTTAAGTTATTGGTGGACACAGTGCTTTTATTTTATTTATTTATCTTTTTACGTGGTACTGAGGATCAAACCTAGGGCCTCACATGTGCTAGGCAAGCTCTCCACCGCTGAGCTATGACCCCAAACCCTTAACCTTTGTTTTTTTATTTTAAACTTTTTAATACAGAAATCTTAAATTAAAAATGAGGAATATAATAAATACCCACATATATAACTATTATACAACTTCAGCAGTTATCAACATAATGTTGCTAATGCTGTTCTTACTCCCTAAGTTATTTTCTTTTCTTTTCAGAGTAAAGCAAATCCTAGATATAATTTTACCTATAAGTAATTCAATATGAGCATTGACTTTAAATTTGGCTGAATATAGCTTTGTAGAGTACATTACCATGAAATACTTTAATAGTATTTAGAGTAAGTAGTCCATTTTATACATGGTGACACTAACAGCTAACAGTTATCAAGTATTTATCTACTTCTGTGGAAATATGAATTTTCAGGGTACTGTTATGGTATTGAAGTATTTTATCACTAGAATATTTTCTTGAGTCACGTCCATGTGACTTGTAGGAAGAAGTTTAGCCATGTGAAGCAATGTAAACTTCCAGTGAGCACTGTTTTTAGAAAATAGGTGCTTTTATGAATGTCTATTTTAAACACATATAAGAAATTTTTAATAAAATATGTATTTTCTAGTTTGTCCTATTGTTTTCAGAGGAAAAGATATTCCTTCTCTTCTGAAACTAACCTTAACAGGCATTTAGTGTATATTTTTACCTCACTTGTAGAATTTTGCTACTTCATCATGTCTTTTTCATTTGTAATCTTTTTTTCCTCTGCTATCCTGCCAATGTACAGGTCTTCTAGGCTACCTTATTAAAAACTACAACATGCCTATAATTCTAACGGTTTAGGACGCTGAGGCTGAAGGATCACAGGTTCAAAGCCAGCCCCAGCAACTTAGCAAGTCCCTAAGCAACTTTGTGAGACCCTATCTCAAAATAAAACATAAAAAAAGCAAGGGAGGGGGCCCTGGGGAATGTGGTTCAGCAGTATTAAGCACCCTTAGGTTAAATCCCTGGTACCAAAACAAAACAACAACAATGACAAAAATAAAACAGGAAAACAAAAAAACCAACAACTACAAAAACAAAACAAAATTTTCCTTGATTTTTATGTTGTAGCTGCCTATCTGAATACCTCTGTTGACCCTTTTGTTGGCCTTGTGGAGAGGCCCAAATTCTTTAGTTTAGATAGAACATTCTTTACCTTTTATCTCTCAGATGCCTTTTCATTCTTACTTTACCTCAAATACTCTTGGTGTTGATTTGTAATAGTAAATATAACAAGCTGGTCCCTCACCAGGTTTTCATATTAGTGTATGATTTATACACTAATATTTGCCACATCAGAGTTTTAGAATAGAACTTTTCACATATTACTGCTCAATCCAATTCAACAAAATTTGCCAAATATTTAAATTCCCACTATGTGACAGCTACTGTTTTCTAGTCTCATTTGCTAATCCCTTGGGTATTTTTGACTATGAGTTTCATTTGCTATTGAATATAATATCAGAAGAAATTAGAGGGATACTGTGTACCTAATATATAACTATTTTGTTTGTTGGCAGTAATATGTACTGTGACAACATAAAAGTTATCTTTTTTTAATTTTCTGTGCTAACTGAATTTAGGTCAAACTATTATCTAATTTTTTTTTTTTTTAATTTATCTTTTAGGGACAGTATGGAAATTACCAGCCGTGAAAAAATACTTACATTCCAATAGCCAGTATCTATTAGCAGCCATATTGTCACCTCAGCACTGTGGACACCTCCCTGTGAAGAGTTCCTTTCATTCCATCTAGTTTTTGGAAAAACCTTATGGATAAGTGGCTGCTTCATCATTAAGCAGCCTTTGTGGTTTAGTTGTAAAAGGCTTTAGTAGCTCAAAAATATTCAATTTCACATTTCTACTCTAGATGGCAACATTGGACAGAAAATGCAATGACATAGCCAATTTGCAGTGATTTCCAAACTGTGTTTCAAATGGACTGTTACAGACTGAAAGGTGTGAACAGCTTTGTATGTTTATGAAGGTTAAGGGGATTTAATACTTTTCCACAGATTCTTTTGTAAGGGGAAGAGGGAAATGTACACTTTTTACAGCAGCAATATTTTGTATATTATGTTTATTTCATGTGGTGAATATGCAAGGCGGTACACTACGCATTGGACAAAATCAGAAATCCTCTGTTAATGTGGACTAGAGTGTGGTAGATGCTTGACTGTTGGTCTCAAAATGGTGTACTGTGAAGATAGAGGTGAGGGAAAAGACAAAGCACACCATATGTCCACTGTTAATGTTCTTATAGAGGAAATTAAATCCCTTTTATCTGTCAGATAATCAAGGGCACTGTGATACAGTTTTGAGTAAAGACACATTTTTTTAAAAGCCTTCCAGTTTTGTGAATTAAAACCTTTTTTATAAAGATCATTTATAATACTGTTTTAAAATATGAGGCAATAAGAATAACTTTATGTTGAATCTGAAGAGTCTTTGGTAGTAATTTCAGGTAAATGAAGTGGTAATCCTCTCCTAAAATAGCAATAACAGAAAGTTTTAATTTTACCTTGTTTGAGTAATCAGGGAACTTAGAAAGTAATATCAAAACATTTTATAAATGATATCAAAGAAGTGTCAGCATTGATCCAGTAACTTTATTTTTTAACATTAGAAAGATAATTGGTTTATATAACAATAGTTTGGGAGACTTTCTATATCTTTATTTTAACTTTCTTAACTGGAAATAATGCCGTTTATAAAGGGACACTTATGTCCCCCCCCCCCTTTTTATGTTGGTTAATATACTACAGAGATGTTTAAAAAAAGACTCATTTATGGAGTTTTTCTGATCTGTATTAAAATCATAGAGGTTACATTTTAAATCTCTTTCTAAGCACGGCATATTTAATCGTTATTTGAGATTGTCCTGTACCTGATTATTTTAGCTAAATTCAAGGAGGAAAGCATGCATTGAGAAATTTCTAACCACAGTCATTTAAGCATAATCTGAAAATATCTAGCCCAAAGGTAAGTTGCTATTTTCATCACAGTTGCCTGTGCCCAGGGAATTAGATGTATTCTTTATAATTGAATTGGTTTTTCCCACTTCTAACTGGAAACAAAACAGAAGGGGTGCCATAAATTTGAATAAGCAGAATATACTGTTCTCAACATACTGTAATCAAAAGGAGGAATTTCAATGTGTATCTGTGTGTGTGTGTGTGTGTGTGTGTGAGAGAGAGAGAGAGAGAGAGAGAGAGAGAGAGAGAGAGAGAGAGAATGCCTATGTTTTAAGGTAAGAACAGGTTTTTTTCCAACTTGGTCATTAGAAAATGGACATCAAGTTTGAGCAGATAAAGCATGGACAGCCTTATTGTGATTGAAATGCTTATAGGTTCTGTGCCAATTTTCCACCACTGTGTACTTTGTTGCTATTTAAAACTGTATCAACTCTAACAGAAGAATAAATTATTTGTGATTTTAATTTTCTCATTTGTTTCTTTAAATTAGATCTCTTTGACTCTCTTGTTTTGTCTTGAGACTGTGCTGTGGGTTTTTATATAAGTTAGTCCAGTATAAGCAGACTATATTTGTATTCTAAGACTTTATCAAAATTCTCTTGCCATGCCCAAGTTAATTAGAATTAACTGTTCAGTAATCAGTATGTTGTGTAGGTTGTTTGTTACAGAATTCTTTCTCTGAAAATGAAGTCCATGAGGCTATAATCAAGATGACTGAATTAGATAAATGAGTTGAAGAGACAAAATTGTACTGAACCCAACCTGGTGTAGATACGTTATCTCATTTGAAATAAGCTCAACTGACATTAAGAAATAATTTGTCTTGCCAACCCATCTTCTGTTGTCTTATTCTCCTTTTAATGGAAACTAAAATTGCAATTTTAATAAGCAGAATTTCCTCCAGGACTTTCTTCCTGGAGACTGGTGCATTTGCAAGGTTTAATTGTTTTATAACAGTCCTATTTCGTAAAAGTTTTTAATTGGTGGTGACAAAAATTACCTTACTCCTTTGATACCTAGTACAAAGAATAACTTTACCAGTAGCTTTCTACCAATTACAACATTTCCATACAGACTACATAGTCCAAAACTTTCATTTTATCAAAATGTATTATAATGAATACATATCATACTATCCCAACAGTTTCTAGAAGCAAAATGTTACTAAGAAAAGAGCAGGTTGATTATTGATGAAACATTTGAACTATTGTGTTCTAGTATAGTTAGACTTTGTTAGTATTCTGTAGCTTTATTCGGGTAGTACATCTTGGCTTTATTTATTTATTTTTTCATATGGAATACTTCATGAATTTGCATGTCATCCTTGCACAGGTGTCCTGGTAATCTTCTCCGTATTATTCTACTTTTAATATATGTGTTGCCAAAGCAAGCACTAATTTTAATTTTTTAAATGGAGCTTTCAAACACACTGAAGTGGAAAGAATGGTATAATGAATCCCCAATTCCAGTAACTCAACTTATTTACATCAACTCATGGCCAATCTTCTGTTGTCTACACAACATTCTACAAATTGAGGCAAATACTGTATTTTTTAATCCTTAAATATTTCAGTAAGGATCTCTAAAAGATACATTCTTTAACAAACAAACAAAATCTCCTTGAACCATAAAGGAGTCTTTATTCTCCTAAAATTCTGCATTTTCGGTGTTAACATTTGATTTAGAAACCCATCTTAAGAATCCATACTTATAAACCACTGCCTTTTCTTTCAAATTTAAAAGGTAATTCATATTAAATAAAAGATTAATAGAAACATTGTATAAAAAGGACATTTTCCATAATGACATTCCTTAAAGGTAACAATTTATTAAAGGTTTGGTACATTTTTTCCAACTTTATTTTAAGCACTTAAGCCAACATATATTAGGTGTTTTTTTTTTAAAGGAATTATACCACATACTATTTTGTAACTCCTTTTTTCTTTCTTTTTAGCCTAGAAATATCTTAAGTGCTTCCTATTTTTGTATTGCGTCTTTTCTTTCTTTCTTTTCCTTCTTTTCTTTCTTTCTTGTTTTTTTTTCACAGCTTCTTACTGTGTGTTGCCCAGGCTGGCCTCAAATTTGTTATGTTCCCATTTCAGCCTCCTCAGTAGCTGGGATTACAATCATGTGCTACTTGTACCTGACTTGTCTCTCATTTTTCACTATTGCAAAAACAAAGTTTTTATTAAGTGTCTGGCATGGGTTTTTTTGTATGCTTTTAGAATACTTCTATACAGTACATTTCTAACATGCTGGGTACAATGCTATATGCACATTTTAAGAAGTGTCAGCCTAAAAATGTACATCCTTACCAATTAGTATTTATAATTCCAGTAGATTTTTTAAAAAATGTTCTCTGAACTTATTTACATTTGAATTATTTGGGAGTCGAGCATCATTTTAAATGTCTAATGACACTTTACTTTGTGTTCTGCATTGCCTGTTTATTTTTTAGTTGTAGTTGGACACAATAAAACCTTTGTTTTATTTGTTTATTTTTATGTGGTGCTGAGGATCAAACCCAGGGCCTTTCACATGCAAGGTGAGCACTCTAGCGCTGAACCACGACCCCAGCCCTCTCTCTGCCTGCCTTTTAAAGTCCTTTATCCAATTCTCTGTTGTGATGAGAAAAAGAAATTTTGTGTACACAGGCACAAACACCCATTTATGAAACTATACATACCTCTGAATGCACACATTAATCCTTTGTTTCTTTTGTCTGTTCGTTATTTTCCCCCCACAATTAGGTTTATAAAAATTGGCAAAGAAAATCTGTACAAAAATTATCCCAAGTCATTTATCACTTTCAAACAGTAATCATGAGACACATTATTGCCTGAGGCCCCCTCTTCCTCTTTTGTTTTTTAAATTTTATTTATTTTTTAGAAGTAGTTGGACACAATATCCTTATTTTGTTTGTTTATTTTTATGTGGTGCTGAGGATCGAACCCAGGGCCTCGCACATGCTATACAAGCAATCTACTGATGAGTCACAATCCCAGCCCCCCCTCTTCCTTTTCCAGGGCCTCAGCCTCTTCCTGCAACATCTTCCCTTTTTTAAATATCACCTTAGGTTCAACATCCAAAATAGGGTATGCAGAGGTAAGCTGTCTTGTAGGACAAAGGATTGAATGTTATTTCCCTGAATAATCAGTGTTTCCAGCTGTACTGTATCTCTGTTCTTCAGGGTCATTTTTGCAGCTTTAAGATTTGTATTCATGCTGATATCTATACCTTTAGTAATTGTTCCATGGACCTGTGTTCCATTCTTCAGTTCAGTGGTTACAGTTTCATGACTCAAATTCATCAAAAATCTCACGAGGGGCTGGAATTATGGCTGAGCGGTAGAGCACTTGCCTCGCATGTGTGAAGCCCTGGGTTCAATCCTCAGCACCACATAAAAATAAATAAATAAAGGTATTGTGTCCAAATACAACTAAAATAAACAACCAAACAAACAAACAAAAATCTCATGAACTTCATCCTAGTGGCGGCGCCATCAACCATTTGGTCTCATAGTGCATAGTATCAGACAACCCAAGACCCACCAACTAAAAGTTATGAATGGTCAGAAACGCCTATTGTGGATGCTCATTTGTTCATTATTTTTAAAACTGGTTATGATGTCTTTTACTATATCAAAGTTTTAAGGTTTTATATAGTCAAAAAAATGTTATTTGTAGCCTCCCTAACTTGCAAATTTATAAAAAATATTCCTCATATTTGCTTCCATTTTTGTAAAAACTTATGTACATAGTATGATTACAGCATTGTTTTTCTAGCTGAGTAACCAGTTGTTTAAACATCATTTATTGCAAAAACTATATTTCTTCCAGTGATTCAAGATGCCTTTATATAAAAAAAAATTAAAAAATTAAGGCATGGTTTATTCCATTTCAAAGGCCAGTTAAATTAATTTAAGCATAACTACTTAATTGCCATAAAGTTGTGAATTGCCCCCAACAAGGTTTTTTTTTTTTTAACATAACAATGACTGGGGCTGGGGCTCAGTGGTGGAGTGCTTCCCTTGAAAGTGTGAGGTACTGGTTCCCATCCTCAGCACCATAAAAAAATAAATATTTTGTCCATCTACAACTAAAAAAATAAATAAATAAAACCCAATGACTGGATTTTTAATAGTAAGAGAATTATTAAAATGTTTTTATATAGAATGACTAGACTCTCTCAGAGATATTTGCTTGAAATTTAGAAGTTTTTAATTCTTTGTGCCCTGCTAATTAATTACCTGTAGGTGCTCAGAAGTATCTCTATTAAGTGACTAAGGGGAAAAGAATCAATATTTTTTTATGTTTATGTGGTGCTGAGGTTCGAACTCAAAGCCTCACACATGCTAGGCAAATGCTCTACTTCTGAGCCACAACCCCAGCCCCATGTTGTGATCTTTTAACTGTTAAGAACATACGGAGAGGTTTTTCAGTACATTTTTTTAAAATGCTAAAATAGGTGAATAAGAAATTCTTTGGGGCTGGGATTGTGGCTCAGCGGTAGAGCCCTTGCCTAGCACGGGCGGGACCTGGGTTCGATTCTCAGCACCACATAAAAATAAAGGCATTGTGTTGTGTCCATCTACAAAAAAGATTCATATTCTCATATTCTCTCTCTCTCTCTCTTTCTCTCTCTCTCTCTCTCTCTCTCTCCCTCTTTCAAAAAAAAAGAAATTCTTAATATTCTGAGATGGTTTTTAAAATAATTTCTTATCTTTATTAGGGAATACTAATCCCCCAATATTTTTTTTTAAATAGCCCTATCTATATTTTGAGTAGGTACATGGCTGTCTACCTCAAGACACTTAACATCCTCTTTAGCAGCTATATAAGCTGAAGTGATGATGTGTGTATCCTCTAGATCTCATTTTTAAAATGTGGTACCTTTGCTGTATTCCATTTCCTGTGGACTGGAACATGGCATATTGTTGAAAACTTTGGTTTTACAGATTAGACATACTCTAGAGAAAGGCAGTGCTTGTATATAGAAGCAGAAGTCCCCAGAATAGTCTCATAAACACCAGTCTTCTACTTATTAGCTTGGACTTTGACGTGGGGGAAGAGAGAACACTTCTATCTTATTAAATAATTTGTTATAGCAGCAGAGCCTGTACCTCTAATATAAGGTCATAAAGTGGATGGCCAGTTCACACTACCTATGGTATCATATGGAATCATAGTTTTCACAAGTGACAAGTTATTGTATTATGTATGTAGTATACTTTATAATTATTCAGATTCTTGACTAATGAAGTGAACAAAATTTTTAAATATTTTAATATCATCCCAAGCTTTCTATCATTTGAATGTCTTGGAATGCCACATTTAATAACACTAGATTTTGTTAAGTATTGGTAAAATATACCTAACATTTATAATCTTACTGGTACCTATCTAGTTATAAATTTTGTAAATATGTTTTCTTTACACTGAGATTCCATCTCACTCCAGTCAGA